TCTGATCTCGTTGTAACCAACAGTGGTGGATACATCTCCGGCACCAACAAAGTTTCCAACAGCTCCCTCTTTGGTAGCGATAGTCGAATCAAGTTTAGCTTCATGCGTTCCAGGACTTCTCATCAGATTAGAAGTCACCGTCGAATCTTCAACAGAAGATGCCATGGTACGCAATGATTGCTTGTTCAACGTATTTGTGGAGAATACGTGTTGAGATTCAGCAGCTTGTGGAACAGGAGCTGTGATGGTTCCAACTGAACCGGATGTAGCAACTGATGCTGTGCCGAACTCATTGTACGATGCATTGACCTTCTCACCTATGCTATCAACCAGATCAGAAGAACTGGAGCCAGCTTGGTTTGGATGAGTGAAGGAAGTGGATANCAGCAGCTTGTGGAACAGGAGCTGTGATGGTTCCAACTGAACCGGATGTAGCAACTGATGCTGTGCCGAACTCATTGTACGAAGCATTGACCTGCTCATCTGTGTGGTCAGTAAACTTGGAAGAGCTGGAGCCGGCTTGGTTTGGATGAGTGAAGGAAGTGGATAATTCTCCTTCTGAGATAGCGAAGTTGCTCTTGGTTGAGTCTTTGGAAGTCAAAGGAATGACTCGGTCAGAACTGTTGGCACCATCTNGGGCTTCTTGTGCAGCTCTGGTGTGTAGCTGTCCTCCGGCAAGCGTTTCTGTGGATTTGAAAAGTTTGGAAGCTCCTTCAAGGTTGCTAGTCGTGCTAATAACAGTTGAAGCTGATTCTTCGGAAACTTCTTTAGATCTGATCGAAGCACCAGATCTGTTAGTTTCCTGCAGCTTGACATGCGACTCTATCAATTCTTGCTTTTTCATTTCAGTGAAGCCAACACTGGTAGAGACATCTCCTGACTCGAGGAAGCTTCCAACAGTTCCTTCTTTGGAAGCGATAGTCGCGTCAAGCTTAGCTTCATGCGTTCCAGGACTTCTCATCAGATTAGAAGTCACCGTCGAATCTTCAACAGAAGATGCCATGGTATGCAATGATTGCTTGTTCAACGTATTTGTGGAGAATACGTGCTGAGATTCAGCAGCTTGTGGAACAGGAGCTGTGATGGTTCCAACTGAACCAGATGTACCAACTGATGCTGTGCCGAACTCATTGTACGAAGCATTGACCTTCTCACCTGTACTGTCAACCAGATCAGAAGAACTGGAGCCAGCTTGGTTTGGATGAGTGAAGGAAGTGGATA